AGGATGACGAACCCAAGGAGGAAGCCGCAGCCCACGTTCTCCCGCGTCTTCGTTGTGGTTGTTGTCGACGCGGGTCGCTCGTGCATTCTCAAAATGCTCATGGAATTCCCAACAACGCACTTTTTAGTAGTACTACAACAATCATGGTTTGGGAGTATCAAGAGTTCGTAGTACTATTACTAGTACGCGAAACCGTCGTTGACCGAGTGTCGTCGTTCGCGTCGACGTCGTTGGGACCGAGCGGCCATCCACGACGGCCGCGCAGAGAGAGCAAACTCCATGTAAGGTGCATATATATGTCGTTTGCCCTCATTCAAGTTAGTTAGTATGCTCGTCTCGGATCTGCATCGTCGCTGTGCCATGGGAAACGTGTCGAGTCACCGCCATGCGATCAACCGAAGCTGACGTTCCGTACGCACGCATCGTCGTTCGAGAACTGCAACGTTTCCATCGCTAGACCTTTCAACGGCAGCGTTCAAGCCCCACGACTTCGTGGGCGTCGAGTCCAAGAATCGTACGGCAGACTCCACAGCGTGCAAGACTGCGAAAAGCTCCATCGTGTCCAGGAAAACACCGGCAAGGCAAATTCCCCATGTCCATGCCGCCTGGGCATGAATAGACGAGCGACGCCGTTGGGTCGAACGTACTAGCCAGAACTCTGCGTCATCAATTCCGGTGTCGGCGCCAACGATCCCTTCTTCCAACATGAAGTGTCTGTTCAATGTTCCCTCCTTCGGGTTCTCGCAGATTTTGTTGTCGCTTTCGAAGGTTGTTTCGCTCCATACTTGCTGGACGTGAACATAATGCGCGGTCTCCCGGATCTGCCAACTCTGTCCTTGAGATGGTGGCATTCTTGTATGAGCATTCCATAAGACTTGCCTTCCCAAAGCGCAAAGCCCACCTGGTAACTTGTGTATCAGTGCAGAATATGGCCTTCGTTCCATAGGAGTTCTCCCATAGACAACGCCACGATCGTGACGCCAGCTCCGAGGTGCAGCTTCTGCATGTTGTCGCCTGTGTCGGTCGGCGGAGGAAATCATAAATAGTAATACTAATCATTAAGTACTTGTACTCTATATGTTGATACAGTCGAGGTTCTAGTACGTTGCTGGCACGAATTAGTAGCTATTACACCGGCACGAAACTGTCAGAGGCATGAGTCAGTTTGCTCGAGTCGGCGGACATGGCCGACAACGCAGTGGACGAAGCGGCAACATGCATTCAAAAGTTGTTTCGACAGCGGGCGGCAAAGAAGCGCATGGTGCAACTCGCCAGCTCCGTGTATCGAAAGTGCTATGACTCGAACACGGGGCTGGCCTATTACTGCAACCTCAAAACTGGTGAAACAGCGTGGGATCGGCCCAAGATCTTTGGCAGTGACGATGCACCGGACTACGACGCCAACCCGACCGTTGTCGGTGATGCCGTGGTAGCCGACGACAAGCAGATTGCGGACAGCGGTGGTGTCATGGCAGACAGTACAGTCGACGAAGCGATTTCGACCGAAGGGAGTACACTCCAGGTGGATACCGAAGCGGAAGCAAAGATCGAACTGGCCAAGCTCGAAGGTCTCGAGTTGGTACAGCGCCAGGCTCAGGTCAAGGCCGATTTGGAGCGCCAAAATCGGAAGCAAGTCCATCGAGGACGAAAGAATTGGGAAAAGCGCATGAGGCTCGAGCAGCAGGCGCATCGCGCAGCTCGCTTGCAACAGATCGCGGGGGCCAACAAGCAAGCCATTCAGGATCTTTTGGATGGGAAATCGGTATCGACCTTGATCACGACTCCACCACCAACTAACTGCATCCGTGTGGGTGTTAGAAACCAGAGCTCGAGTCGATTCGGGAAGCATGCATGCGAGGTCACCTCGATCGAGTCGCGTCGCTACTTGACGAAGGATGGAGTCCCAATGCAGAAAGCGTATACTTCATGCATTCCGTGCATGAATCACGACCTCACGCATTAGGCCATGGGCCTTACGCCACTGCTGGCGGCATGCCTCGGTGGTCATGTCCACGTGGTGCAATTGCTCTTGCGTCGACACGCTGATGTCAACCACAGACATATTGTACCGTCAACGCAGGTCAAAACTCGACGTAACCGGCCGTGATGGTGGCCTAGGTCACGCAGCGCACTGCGTATATGGAAGCGTGCCAGCGCCCAAACGTTCCTGTTGTGCGAGAGCTGCTGCGGCATGGTACACCGGCGGAGTGGAGGGCAATGCTGACGTTGTTCCGTGCAGGTGCTCGGATTCACTGGACAGACAAGCAAGGACGAGTCGCAAGAGACGGTATCACACACAAGAAGGTGATGGCATTGCACGAGGCCGCGTGTGGGGTGTGGAGCCCCCATGCAGCGAGTGTCTTCCCCAACAATTTCCGCGCCGCGACGGTCACGCTGGCGTTCGTCGCCAAATGCCAACGCGTAGCCAGCGCCGGTGCCAAGGCCCGCGCGTTGAAGGCAGCTGCCGCGACGCGCGTCGACCTGCAGAAAAATCTCATCCAGGCCAAAGTCCAGTACGACTAGAACGGCATCGAATGGAACTCGTCCCCGACCGATGAATCGCTGACGCGCGACGTAGATATGACCATGACATGAAAGAAAGCCAAATGCAATTCAGCCAAGCGAAGCGGCGGGACTTGACAACCGCCGCCGATGAACGGTCTGCTCGGTCATGGCTGTGCTGGGGCTAACAGTCGTTCTCAAAGGTATGACAGCACCCGCGCCAGCATCTTGCAAGCAGCCGAAGCCGCGTCGGTGGCGCTGCACCGAGATTGCCAGCCCCGATGGCTCGAGGAAGCCAACGTCGTGACGATCTTGGCGTTTTGTTCTCGTCACTGGTTCGATGAGAAGGCGACGAGTCGTTCTGTGCCCCACGACGCAAACGGCAACGCATCGATCGATCGCCATGTTGTCCCCACGAAGCGGTGGATCTCGTCCAGCCAGGTCGTTCCTGACGCGTTACGCGTTGCCTTGATGGAAAACAGCGCCGCGATTCAAGTAAGATCACGTGTGGCGAGTCCCGACTGAAGACAGCGCTTTCCAGGAAATGAGCGCGGAGGTCCAACTTTTGGAAGCCACGCAGACAACGGATGTTGACGCGGGGGTGCTTGTACTGGCCACCACGAAACAGAGTCAAGCGACAGTGGACGTGACTATCGTGGAAGCACAGCACCTCGCGAAACGATCGAATCGATCGCTGGTACGACGCACGTTGTCCTATCGAATGGTTGGATGGACCGCGCTAGATCGACCCGCTCGTGCGCGTGCGGGTGCATGGCGAAGACGGCGGCGGCGTGGGTCCGCCGCTTGCGACCGAGCCTCGAATGGACGACGAGAACCCGATTTGGGACCACCGCATGACGTTCCACCACGTGCCATCCATTCGTTGCGAGCTTCATGTTCAAATCATCGACACGGCCATGGCAAAGGGGGGCACGCACCACCACCACCAGCCTGAGCTTGCCGGCGAGATCCGCCTTCCCCTGCGAAAGTACATCGATCAGAAGGATCACGACGAATGGCACGTTGTGCCCCAAACGCTCAAGCAGGCGCTCGTCGAAGCCAAGAGCCGAGAGGTGCCTGCTAGATTACATCTTGTCATTCGGTTCACGCACGCCAAGGTACACACACGAATCTAGTGGACCGACGGTTTGTTTCAAGCTCGTCGTAGACGTTGGTCTTGACGCGGGAGCTCGCGCGGGCCGCCAAGCTCCGGCAGGACCTTCTTGCTCAGCGACGAGCGTTCGTTCAAAAACAAATCGCGCGGGTGTTGGCGGTTCTCGATACCAAGCCTCATTCCACGACCAAAACCAACCCGTAACACAACCCGTAACACTCGAACGGACGTGCGATCGCCATGGATTACGCTGGAGGGTGAAGTAGACTACTCGACGTGGGGCCCGATGGATGGTACAGCGCGTTGTCGCCATTCGACCATGCAGCATGGGGAGCTGGTGTGGTGGTGGAGTTGTGATAGTCATCGGTGGGATGTGGACGTGGCATGGGGCCGTGGTAGACGTCGTAGTTGGGAGAAGGCGCTGGATTGGGATAGTTGCAGTGGTCGTACGGATGGAAGTGGACGTCCTGTCGATGATTCAACCAGTCTCCACGGTCCCAGCCTGGACTTTGCTCCCTTCCGCGGTCCCACCTAGAAGGTTCTCTATCTTGGCTGCGATTGCACCCTCGCCGACGTCTTGACGAGTCGCCTCGCTCTTCGCTGCGTCTTTGCGTGTGCTGTCGGTCATGGCGGTCCTTGTAGCGCCGTTCTGAACTGCGGCGGTAGGACTCCGCTCGACTTTGATCTACGTTTTCCTGGCTGCGCCAACGACTGCGCGTGATATGTTCACCTCGTCGATCCGGCCGCGAGATGCTGTCTCGGGCCGGGTCACTGCCGTGGTCGTTGGCGTCGCGGGCCTGGTTTTGGGGGAGCGATCCGTCGGGACGTCGTTCCCTGGAGCGCGATCTGTCGCGGCTGCGTTTGTCGTGACGACGATCCAAACATGCATCGTCTTCTCGAGTGGTTTCCAACCGCATTTGGTTCTTGCGCTCGACGAAGTACAGATTCTTGAGAAAGCTTTTCGTGATGAAACCTGGGGGCCATGCGGCTTCATAGATCGCTTTGGCTTCGTCGACTGTGTGGTGGGCGAAATCCACAAGGCATTGGATGGCATAGAACCCCGTGCGACTGCCCACGGAGCAGTGCAGCGCCACTCGAAGATCCATGTCTCGACCGACCTCGCCATGCCACAAGTCAAGCACGCGATAAAACGCGTCGACGTCCGACTGGTGCGGCACGTGGCCAGATCGAATGGGAAGGTACGTTCGCCGCAGTGTCGAGGGTAAGTGGTCGTCAGTGTAGTACGCGTTTCGCTCGCAAAAACTCACGACACCATGGACGGGACCGCCCCCACCCGACTCGACAAACGACACAAACGAGTGGGGCGTCCACGAGCCGTCCGAGTCGAACCGATCGTCGAGCATCGCTTTCATCGGCAACAGGTGCAACGTGCGCATAGTCGGCTCGATCGCTTGTTTGTGTGTGCGGGTTCCATGGGCCCCACCGAGCGCATCCGTGGCAGAAGCGGCATCGACTGGAATCGGCACGTCCTCGCTTCGTCGCACAGTAATCCAATTCCCGTGGGGCAGCGTCGTGGCCCAGTGGCTCGGTGGCGGCCACAACCGACGAGTGGACGTGCGTGACTGGGGAGGAGTCGCACGTTTGGCATACTTTTTGCTTGCCCATGGCGGGAGCGCCGGGTACTTGATGTTGTCAGTCGAGATACCATGGCTGTACATGCGGTGGAGGGCATCGATGTAGAGGAACTTGATGAGACCGGGGGGTCGTGCCGTCGCAAACGCATCCAACGCGGCTTGGACAGAGTAATTTTTGCGTGTGATGAGGTAGCACGCGACCAAGTAACCTGTGCGATTGAGGCCGTGCGTGCAATGCAGCGCAAGGTGCCCTGCATTCGGGTGGGTTTTTTCAAACGCGTCGACTAAGTCCAAGAACGCTGCAACAGAGGCCGTCGACGGTGCGGCACTGAATCCTTCCAGCGCGAATTTCTCGTACTGGATGCCGTGGATGGCAAACGCGGATGGGCCGTTGTAGTACTTTGTCGTGTTGGTGAGATCCACGACGAGGCGTACGTCGTGGCCTCGAAGCGCTTGCTCCGCGACAAACACGTCGGGGGTCCATGGATCCGCCCCGTGGTCGAACGAGTCGTCGAGGAGCGTGCGCATAGGCAGGAACGGCGAGTCTGCCACAACGTCGCCCATCCGGGGAGGGTCGGTCCAGTTGGCGGGCGGTCGTCTCAAGTTGGATTCATTCAAACGGTGCTGTTTACGATCAAACGGTTGGGTGGAGGCAATACGTGGCATGTTGTTGGCAGCGGCCAACTCGTTCTTGGACCGGTCGTACTTGTGGAGGGCCCAGTGTGGAAGCGTTGGAAGCACGATGTCGCCGCCTTGATCGAACATGTTGTACAATGTTTTCACGTACATGTGCTTGATAAGTCCAGGTGGGCGCGCTGCAGTAAACGTTGCGAGAGCCTCCTTCACGGAGATGCCTCTTGTCGCAATGAGATAGCGCGCGACGAGGTACCCCGTCCGATTCAAGCCATGCGTGCAGTGGACAATCACGACGGGAGTCATCTCGTCCTCCGACACAACTTCGGTTTTTCGTTGTTTGAGCTTGTGTTCCCATGTCGACAGAACGGTGATGAACCGCTGCACGATATCCTCTTTCGGGACGTCGGCAAACCCTTCGACTTTGATCTTGACGTACTCGACACCCTTTGCTTGGAACTCTGCGATACCGTCATAATACTTGAACGTGTTCGTCAGGTCGATCACCATGTTTACTGCCAGCTTGCGCGCTTGACACTCCTCCAGAAGGTGAGATGGTGTCCATTGCTCCCCCACGGGTGTGGTGTACTTTGCATCGAGAGGGACACGAGCCGCCACGAGCTTTGCAAGTGTACCAGCGGAGGTTCCCATGGGGATCGCATCTCCTAGCTTGTCGACATCATCCCAATGATCCGGTGGGTTCCACGGCGGACTGGTCTGCTCCTTCGCTGGTGCCGCCATTGTCATGTGGATATTCTTGGCGACCACCAAAAGTTCATAGAGGCACAAATACGATGTTTTTGATGCACTAAACTCATCCAAATCGTGTTCAATTGAGCTAGAAATCGATGGTTTTAATTGTATGTCTGGCAATGAACTGATTTACATCCTTTCAAATCGGATATTCGTCACCGGCAACTCCTCCAGCATTTAATGCGGTACGAGACGATGCGAGGACAATGCAATGGTGCTTCAAGGGGGTAAAGGCGACGATGGTGAAGACAGCACGCATGGGAGCATCTGCAGGCTCGGCAGCTTGTCCAGCGCTGCCATGCCCTTGACGAATTCTGTGTTGGCGCTTCGCCAGTCGTCCTTGAGCAGCCCTTCTGTGAACGATGCGGGGCCATTCGGGTTGTACTGGTAGGTGCTTTCTGGGTTGAGGGACCACATGAACCCGCCGGCATATCCATCACGGAGCATGACTTCAATCAAAAAGTCTGTCGTGCGCTTCGTTGTCTTGAGCGGGTGGGCATCCGTCGCATAGAGCCCGGCAAACTCGCCGAGAACCAGCGCTTCCTGTTTGTCGGCGGCGATGTACCCAAACATGTCCGTCGCCGTCTCGGACACACGTTGGCGCAGGTCGGCATCCGACAGCTCTGACTTGCCGGGACCGTAGAAATACGACTGAGGATACACGCCGCTGTTGTAGTAGTGCGGCGCATACACGACCTTGTTTGGGAGACCGAGCTTGACGCGCTTGGTCTTGACGCCTTGGAGACCACCACCCCACCAGTCACCGTACTCTCGCAAGACGCCTCCGATGGTGGTCGAGTGGGTTTCGATGTTGGTGCCTTCCACGAATGCCAGCCAGTTGGAGCATCCCTTGTGCATGCGATTCCCGATGATCTCGGCGCCGTCGGCAAACGCGGTCCACGTGGACGTGTGCGGCTCGTTCTTCAGGTCGATCCCGACGACGTTCCAGTAGTTCGGGCCGCAGAAGGCTTTGGTGAGGGTGTCGATGGATTGGAGGAACTTTTCCTTTGTGATGCCGAGCGAATCGTCGAACCAGGTGCCCCCTGACACCTCCGGAGTCAATGTGTGCATGCTGATGAGCACACCAATGTTTCGATACGCCAGCGCTTTGATGATGGAACCTAGCGCACTCATGTACGTGGACATGTCGATCGCGCGGTTCTCCTCGAGGTTGACGAGGTCCTTCCGCGGGGCCGTGTTTGCCAGGATATGCGTGATGCTCACGGGGAGGCGCACGACGTTGAACTTGTTGGCCGCGAGGAACGTCGCGATCTCGTACACGGTCGTGCCATTCTTCGCGTTGGTCCAGAGCCCAAACGGCACCGCGTTGCCGGTTTCCATGCCGAACCTGTATCGTCTTTCGTTAGTGTCCGCGAGCAAGGACGGTCGCGACTGCACCAATTCACGCCCTTCATGTCGATCTGGGTTTCTGTCTTGTTCGGCAAGACGGCGAAGATGCGCCCTTTCTTGCTAATGTAGTTCAGCATGGCGCATTCTACACAACGTGTGGTGACGATGAAAGCGTCCAGCAGCAACGGACGTACTTTGGTCCTCGTATGTCTTTGGGTTACCGACCTGGCCGTCCGTGTCGACGTCGATAGGTACGTTAGGTGATGCCGGGTCGTCGACGCCTGTGCGAATCGCACGACGAGCCCGCTCAGCTGCGAGATAGTCGGCGGCGCGTTTCTGCGATGTTTCACGGTAGGACTTGGCACCCAACGTGATTCCGGCGATGGCGCCGCCCAAAACGAGAAACAAGAGGAGTAGGCCGGGCCACATCTACGAGTGATCCACCTCGACCTTGAATCCCTTTCTTCGAAATCGCAAGCAACGAGTGTACCCGGAGACGACCCTTGTAATGGTTTTGCCGTTCGTTCACGGCCGGTTTCCCGACAAAGAGCATGATATCGCGTTGTTCGCGGCGAGGTTGTTGCGTCGCGGACGCCGACGACGCGCGCGACCCGTTGTCGCCACCGCCTTGATGAACGATGGTCGGGCGAGCTTCGAGGGATTGGCGCCATATGTCCATGTTTCGGCCATGGCTAGTATAGTCTGTGTGGTTCGCGTCGTCTGCCGAGTCCCGCGTGATCTCAAACTCGGAAGGCATGTCGGTCTTGATGGAAGGAGCGAAGTGACCACGTCTGCATCGTTTGGGTCGGTAGTTGATTCCTTCACCAAAACAAGCCGGCAGTTCAAACGACGCCCATTGGCTGGATTGTACAACCCAATCGATTTGATTGGTCCATTTTCGGTGCGACCTTTTTTCGCTGGTTTCCCACTATCGTCGATCGACATGTTCGTCGATGATCTCGTGGATCTGAAGCGCTCCAAGCAAGCGGTGTGGAGTCATTCGCTCGGCTAGTCCCACAGATCTGCTGCTTGTTCGACCACGGGGGATATCGGAATGTTGGGTGTCCCATATGCTGTCGACATGCGTGGAGGGTATACATACCACAACACGATTCGCATGCATAGGTAGCAAGGAACATCGCACAACGCGCGAGTGAAGCCCCAGTGTAGTCCGGTGAGAAGGATGTCCTGCATGAAGAAGAGGACGATCGATGGCTGTCGTCGACGGCTTGCGCTGGCCTGAAGCGACATGACTTCCACGACCACATCTGTTCGATGTCGGAACGCCGCGAGGCTGACGTGAATGCACTGAAATTAGTGTGAGCACAATTTTGTCCAGAGGGAGCGAAGACACGCCGCAACCCTGTCCTCTGACCGAGCAGAGATCTTGCAATCGTGAGGCATGCAAGGGCTGGTTGCCTATAAACGTATGGGCACATGGCTACCTCTGCCTTATTGGAAAGCGAGTCCCGAGTCCGTACATGTTGAGTCCCAGGGCATGTGCGTGTCCTTGGCAGGTTTGCGTGCATGCATCGACAGTGTGGTGGGCACGTCAGTGTTGCATGCGTCCGCCAACGACCGTGCGTGAGCTGCTGCTTCCAACACCTCCATGCATGATGCAGCTTCGTGTCTTGGTGGTGCGCACTTCCCCCATCGTCGGTTGATTGCGGCACTCAGACGGGCGCCGCACCGAATCGACTGAAATGTCCGGATACATTATTCGGAATCGTGCGACCACAAGAAACTTGAAATTTGGATGCTGCTACCATGAGATGAATCGAACCTCGTCGTGGTTGAAGTCGCCAAACTCGAGCGACTTTGAGCCTGCCCGGTTGCCGCCGACCGCAACCTTCCAGCTCCCGTTCCGTAGCCTCTACGTCGGCACATATTGTCTACCAGTGAGCTCCGTTGCTTGCTCGTTGCGATGAACGTCATTAACTCCGTCAAGGAGTACGTTACGACGGTGTTCGACCTCGGCAGCACTCGCACGGAAGCTATCGACGTCGTGGCAATTCAGCATGATGCACCAGACCAGCAAGTCCGGTCTACTCCTTTCTACGTGCGCTTCGAGGTACAGAGTGTCTATCCTTCACGTTCGCAATGCATCAAATATACTGGAGAAGGTGACCAAGTACCACGACCGTCGAGTGGACGTGTTCGTCAATGGCGAGCAGGCCCGCGGCGTGTACATGGAGGTGCGTCGCAGTTGCCGCACATGCGCATTCACCGACAGGAATTGCAGCTTGACTCGAACGGAGAGGCCTTCTTCGCACGCGTGCAGTCGCCTGACACGATGATGGAGCCCATGTTCTTCACCGACTTCGGAGATCCTCCGTCAAACCCATCCACTTTCAAGTACGTTTGTTCTGTTTCGAACGCCATACCGACTTCAAGGCCCATCTAGCTCCTTCAATGAGGACTCCATGCGCGATCCCGTTGTGTTGCGGGTACACACTTCGTGGCGACTCTGTCATGACGAATCCCACGAGATGCCATAGACCAACGTCAAGTTTTCCGAGGACATGCGTACACCCAGTTTCTACTTTGACGCAATGCACAGCGCCCCTCCGTCCGTCGAGAAAGCGAGTGTCCTGCAAAAGACCACGAGCGACTACTTTGACGCTCAGTCCGAGCCTGGTCCCCACCCTTCGGCAACATCCACCGACCACGGCGACCCCGCGCAGTCCATCCACATGGACTTGTTCCATGCACGTAAGTGGATTCGTTTCAGGACGTTCACGGGTCATGCCAAATCCAGAGCCAGCGCTGTCCCTCTGCGGCGACTTGCTATCGACGGCCATGACGACGGAAGATGCCGCTGCCATCTTTCGAAATCATCAAGTGTCGGCCGATGCATTTCGCCGAGACGGCATCGCTATCCTCCAAGACCCAGCGCTCAGGGTGCTTGTTCATGGCACGTACCATCGCTACGACCTCTTTGCGCAATCGCAGCTCGTGACCGAAGCGTGCTTTCCGACCTCGAAGTCTCACCTTCGTTCCCTCATGAAACCATCGGCATGTCAACCGACTCTAGCGCAGCCATCACCGTCGCTACCCTTCGTTGAAGAGACAGCCAAGCCACGTCGGCACACCATCGATGGGCTCGTACCTTTGCCTTTCACTCAACTCTCGAATGACCAAGCCAGCCTGACTCGGACAGACAGCACCCGTGCCACAACTTCGCGATGGCTGCGGTGGTTTCGATCGAGCCCCCGGTCGTCGTCGTCCAGGCTTGCGTTGGCTACAGGTTGTTTGTCCGCCTTGTCGGGTGGAAGTAGCAAGAGCCTAACGTTTTTGGCTAGACAATCTTCCATCGGGTGGCGCCGAGGAAGAACCGAGCGAGCCACTGCTTCACCGATGTGTGTACCCAGACCAAGACCAGCTCGGCCGCATGCACCTGGTGTATGGCCCCAACAAGCTCGAGTTCCGCGTCAAGTCCAATGTGTTTGGCGAAGAGGATCTGGTCGTGACATCGACGCTGTTCCTTTGGCACGCCTCGACGAAGCTTGTCGTGGCTGACATCGACTTTGCCGTGAGCTGCGATGTCGCCGCCGATTCCTCGTCGTTCCTTCGATCGTCGTCGACCAAGTACGATGTCGCGGACGGCGCTCCCGACTTCTTTTCCCATGTTCTCGACCACGGCTACCAGCTCATCTACCTCTCGTCTCGCAATCCCGTCGACTCGAGGGAGATGCTGGATTTCCTTCCCCAGGCGCCGCTTCTTGGCGCGTTTGGGACGTTTGACATGGACAACGATCAAGTCGCTCTCAAGCTGTCCATGCTCCAGGAGCTCCAGGCTCTGTACCCCCCCGACGTGAATCCGTACTACGCCGCCCTCACGAACGCCAACCACACCAACGCCTTCCTCGACTCGGGTCTGCATCCAGGCAAAGTGCTCGTTGTGGACTCGTCAACTGGCCGCTTCCGCCTGGCCCATCAAAAGGTGCACAAGGACACGGACGTCTCGTATGCCAATCTACGCGATCCCCGCACATTTGACTTTATGTTTCCGCCCGTGAACGCCTCGACCGTCGATTCGAGCTCCACCGCGCCGCCGGGTGACGTCGCGCCCGCCGGGCGAAACCCCTCCACGTTCCACGAAGAAGCGTTCAACGATCTCAACTTCTGGCGCCTGCCTCCTCCGCGCATGTGACTGCGTCGTACAAGCAAGTCGTCCAGCCCCGTTTCTCCAACTCGCTTGACTCGATGGAGCAATGTCGAACTGAACAGGATGTGTTCTCGATGCACACTCGCATGTCCATCGGCGCGGCACGTTTGCGTGGCGCATTGTTGGCGTCGTGTCGATGGGACCGACTACTTCAACAAGTGCACGGACAGAGACGTTGATCGGGGTCGGCCCTTATCGCTTGCTGTAGAGTCGATGTGGTGAGTAGAGGACCCGCGATGCCCGCGTGTACTTGAGCAAGAGCGCCGCCTGGGTCAGCTTTCCCGTCACGAGTTGCCTGCGATGGTGCCAGTCAGGTGGGTGCGTCAAGAAGCGCGCATGTGAAACGTACTGCAGATACGGCTCGAGCTGGGCAAGAGTCCACTTGGGCTGGAACGCAAACATTTCTTGGAATCGCGTCTTCGGGTCGATCGAGAGCGCCGACTCGGGGAAGTACACGAGGGTATCGACGCCGCTGGGTGGCGCTCCCGTGCGGAGGATGGCGATGCCAAGCAGCAACGACGGGTCGATGGCGACTCCTTCAGGCACACGGAAACCCCACTGCTCCATGAAGTCAGCCATCGGCCACTCTTTGCGTTCTTGGAAGAGGGACGTCGCTTGGAATGCTGCTACTTTGGGTGGACTCAATTTGAACGGGTCCAACGGACTGTGGCTGGAAGGATCGGAGCTGAAAAGGCCAAGCGTGTGAGCGAGAATGACAGGGGTTACGCCAGGGAGATGCTCGAGGAACAGTTCGACGGAGAACGTGGTCGAAAGGTCCCAATCTTGCTGCACTATGACGTCCAAAATTTCTTGCATGACGTCGTGCGTGTACGATGGATCGACAAGGCGCCAATACCCGTCAATGCACACTGCACGAAGTTGGTGCAAGATCTGCGCCACTTCATGGGCGCTGTGCTGAAGCTTGTCCATGAGGTCGCCGAGGGTGTACAAGTTGGATGGAGTCGATCGAGGTTTCTTTGTCGCTGGGGACGATGCGAGCGACTTGGCGCACCAAGCCTTGGTCCACGGCGCCAGCATGAGCAACGCCTTGAGCTCACTCACATTCAACTGTTTCTCCGCTAATTCGTAGTGGCTGACGGAGCACCCTCGAATCGTGATGTCGACATTCGAAGCGGCATTTTCCCACTCACACGAATCCACGAGCATGCGCAGGTTCGACTGGTCTTCCTTGACGAGGTAGTAGCTCTGGGTCGGGGTGCACAGCACAGCTCGCTGGTCGGCGTCTCCAACGATGTACACGTCATCTCCATTCGTCAGTGCATCGCAGACGTCGTTCGGTAGCTCCATTAGCTTCAACGTATCCTCATCGTAGTCGCTGCCAAAGACGACATTCGCCGTCGATGGCCGTGCCATGCTCGGATTGTGGAGCAGTACATGTGCCGCCAACGTAAATCCGCCAATCATCCTTCGTTACACAATTCTCCACCAATCAAAACAAAGCAAGTTGTGCTCGAGATATCGATTCACAAGCACAAAACGAGTTTCTGCATATTCCGTGGCGATGGATCTATTCGTCGTCATCGTCGTCGTCATCGTCCTCTTCGTCCTCATCACCACGAAGCCACTCGAGAAACTCCTGGACGGCGGGGTCGTCGACCAGCGTCGGGTGCCCGGGGGCGTCTTCGTTCTCCTCCCACTCAAAGATGTTGTCCTCCGTTACCCACTCGAGGTCGTACGCGATTTGGAGAACAAATCGAAACAAACCGGCGTACGTGGCGGCATTGGCCGGGTCCAGGCAGTACGCCGCGAGAATCTCCACGATCGCGACGCGCTCGACGTCGCCCATGATGCACTTGTTTACAACCCCGCTCCACTTTTCGAGCTTGGGTTTGAGAAGTGACAAAATCTGCATCCCTGACTTGTTGGCACGAGGAATCAAGCTGCACAGTCCCGGCAAAATTGCAGCCAAACAGTCGGCGAACGATCGGTTCTGGGCAAACTTGTAACTCTTGATCTCCAAAAACAAGTTGTCGACGCCGTCGCCGCCGTGATCCCCAGACACGACCATGTCCATCACGACGCGGATAAATCGCTCGAGCGGGTCTTCGTCGTCGAAAGGCACGGTAGTTTCTTCGTCGTCCGAAGAACTCAGCGCATCCCACGACGCCAAGCGGCTGCGCTGCTTGGCCACGAGCTCAGGCGCGCCGATCAGCGTCAACTTGAGCTGCTCCAACCGACTCGCCGTCGCCTCTTCATCGTCTTCGAGGTCCGAGTCCATCCCGCCTTCGTCTTGAACAGTCCACACGCGGCCAACGCCCCCGACACCGACATGGGCAGGGTTCCACGCTTCGTCTGCGCCTTCACCGTCATCGTTCTTGTCAGCATCGCTTTCATCGTCCGAAAACCCATCGTCCATAGCCACGCAACGCACAGTGGTGAGCTTCGTATGGGCCGGTACGGCAAAGTTTGGGCCCACAACGACTCCATGCGCAATCAACGAGCCTTCGTTCACCGTCGCGCCGTGGCGCACGATCGCACCATTGCACAAAATCGCACCTTCGATCGTCTACGTCGGAAACACGATAAAAGATTCGTCCCAGGACAAGAAGCAAGACAACTCTATCGGACCACCACGGCCGTTTGTTGTTACGCACCACATTGTCCTCGACTACAACGTCATCCCAGAGAAAGCTTCCTAGGATCTTCACGTTCGCGCCGATCTTGCAGTTGCGGCCGATGGCGCTTTTGTCGACAAAGGTCTTGGCACCGACTGACGTACCCTCACCCAGGATCGTTGTCGATTGGATCGTGCATGTGCGCGCGAGCACGACCTACCGCAGCCGTCGACACCTTGACATGGCAGGCAACAAGCGAGCAGTTGGTACCTGCTTCTCCTTGTAGATATCGTGGCGTTGGTGCGAATACGTCGAGTACAACCCGAGCAAGTTGTTATCTGGCACGAGGGGGTACATCCATCGCTGGAGAATCGCATGCGTGATGGCGCTGTAAGTGCGGGGGTCGTGGACACGAGCGGCAAAGTCCTTGGCAATGATGTGGGCGTGAATCTTGTTGCCCATCTCGTAGTTCTGCGCTTCGTTCCGTACAAAGTCGCTTCGGATGTCTTGATAGTCAAAGTTGTCGCTGAACTGCACCAGCACATCTGGCGAACAAATGTCGATTTGGGCATCCATGAGATCGTAGCGGAAGCTGATTTGCCGATGGTCCTGGAACGCCGCGTTGGACAGGAACACGGTCGCTGTGCTCGGGTGCTTGGTCTCGTACAGGACGAGTTGGTGCGTTCGACTGTCAAGCGCGACGACGAGGTCGTCCGTCAAGGGTCGGATGTTGTGGTGGACCTGCACTTCCTTGAACACCATCGTCATGATGGACGAGCTGTCCTTCTTCCTCCGCGCTTCATGCGCTTCGACAGCGCCGCGAAGGTTCATGTTGGACACCACGTCGCCTGAAATCAAAATGAACGGATCTGATCGAACCACCTGCATGCGGTCCAACTCTCGGATCGCGTCCCCAGCCGTCAAGCACGAAGGACTCAAGATGATCTGCGTCTTCACAGTCTGCGCAGTCGTGGACGTGCTCAAGAACGCTTCAATGGCTGCCGAGTTGCCCGTGCAGAAGATCAGGACTTCCTCGACGCCGTTGGACGCGAGGAACTCGAGCGTGTACTCGAGCATGGGGACATTCGCGAGAGGGAAGAGAACCTTCGGGTGCTCCAACGAGATCGGCCGGAACGTATTCGTCCAAGAATCGGCAAAGAGCACTGCTTGAAGTGGGTGCTTGTGCTTTTCATTCGTGTCCTGCGCCGCCGCGGCTTTCTTTGGTGCCATCCTTCCTCCGTCGGGCGTTCCGCACCAGTATAATTAATCGAGTCAAAGTTCACCGCAAGCGCTGCGTCAAAACGTGGTGATATTTGCAGCAATTGACGGTTAAGGGTGTCGATGCCTCCTATTTTGGTGACCGCCTCACCAAAATGACAAAAGATGGACCTCATCAACCATTGTCGCAAGAAGAATCGCGCCAAGCAGTGTGGAGCATGGCGCACTCGGTAGCTCACAGCATGGACAAGGCAATACGCGACGAAGCTGCATGAGATTCCTCGAATTCAGCGGGGGAGACGACAGGAGAACCGTCAATTCGGACTGCAGAGATCGATGCACGATTTGGGGCAGCTTTCAACTGAACTAGCATGCGCAATGGGCACAGAAAAGAGCATCACAACGTCTCCTCTGCGTACAAGCGAGAGCCAAACTGCCTTGACAGCCCTGAGAAGGTGGTTCAATTATACTTTCTCAAATCGATGACACTGCTAAGCACATTCGAACAAAGTCCAACATGCGGTCCACACGCCGCTTAGTTGCGGAAAGTGCTGGGGCGGTTGGCCTTGTACACGGTGCGGAACTTCTTGAGCGAAGGGCGGGGCACGCGGTGCGACAAGGGGAACTTGATCTTGCTGTCGTGGTATTGCAACGTGTTGGGCTTCTTGCAGTCCTTGGCAGCCAAGATGGCAGTGCGCATGATTTGAATCGAACGCGGGCGCGCACGATGGCGACCGGCCAATTCAGCGTACAATTGTTCGATGGCGCCGTTCAAGGTCACATCACGGTATTCCTTGTACATGTTGTGCGTGCCCGAGCGCGAGTTGTAGCGGATCCACACGCCGTAGTTCTTGACGATGCGCTTGTTCTTCTCGCGGAGCTACACACGACATAAAAAAGGATGGGTCAGACAAATGAAGAGGACGGGGCGCCACCGCGACGAGGAATCGAAAAGCGGCGAAGACGAGTGTTTGGAGTACCAGTGCGCGGGGAGATCGAATTGGATACCACCAACCGAGTCACGCGTGTGACATCGGTATGTGCTAAACAACGGTTCTCACCGCGAAAATTCAACGGTTTGCAAGCTGGACCCCGGGTGGGGTCTCGTGGCAGGCAAGCGTCTAGCCCCATGAACCTTCCCTTCTTGCGAAGAGGAAGGGGGCGTGCCCAATGCAGGACACAATGGTGTGGACGACAGAGGATCGTCGAGTGCACTCAACATGCACGGAAGCAGTGCAGTACCTCGTTGATGCTCAAGATTTCACCGGTCGTCTTCTTCATCTTCTTCATTTGGTGCAAGAAGTACCAGAAGCGGGACTTGGCCAACACCTCGTTCGGAGCGAACAACTTCATGCGGAACGCAGGAGGGTTGGGGTCGGTCTCGGTGGGAGCCTTACGGCCGACGACTTGGTAATGGTGAATCTATGCCGGCGCCACATTAGCGCGAGTTTCACGGACACCGCGTCGTCGTGCACTTACAGCAGGCATCTTCAATTCCAGGCAAATTGTTAAGTAGCCCGCCGGCGCAAGGTTTCTAGACGTCCCCACCAGCCAATTTATTTTGTCCAATCAGATGTCTCGTTGCATTTGTAGCCAATCCAAAGTGGTTCTTTTCCAGCGCGTTGACTGGATGGAGGAATACTTTGGAATCCGATATGCATTATAACAGGTTATGGATACGCCCTTGTGATTGGTTGACTTGCCGACACGATTTTGCGCCGACGGGGATGTCCAAGGACGCGTTGGTTGCGAGGAAGAATGCGCGAGAACACCAATTGAGACAGGTGTATGCGACCGTTGAAGGATACGTCCCCACGTACGAAGATGCACTGAACACGCTGGAGAAACACTTGCAACTCAACATGACTCCGGACGCTGTCGGGCAATGGTTTGATCTGGTGATGTTGCGCTGTGCACCTGGCGTTATTTTATGGACGAAGCGATGCTGACATGGGTGGGTAGTACGTTCGCGTGGTGGACTTGTCTGTCGAGATTCGGCGAGGAGAGATACGCCATCGAACAGAGCGCAAGTTCCTGTACAAGTCTCGCACCAAGACATGCCGCGCGACAGCGACAACGAACGGTATGTCCATCCACTCGCTAGCGTGTATCTCGCTCAAATATGGGACAGGTCTTGGAATCGACGACGGAAATGCTCTGATCAACGAGCTGGACTCGATATACAAGCAGTTGAAGAAACGGAAGCCCATGCAACTCGACACCCTCGAGTCGCAGTTGGACATCCTCGACCGCGACACCCTTGGCCCTCTTGACAAGCGAATCTCCGAGGTCAAACGGCGGCTAGAAGGTCTTCAAAGTGCTTATTACACTTCGTGCAGTCTCATCGTTCACGGCGATATCCATGTGGAGCTCATTATTCGTCAAGACTCGACAGTCCTGCTGCAAAAGAAGAGGCGTTGCGACGACATCACAACATGCAGCTGTCCCGTCGACGCAGCACCGTGGGTAAACTTCATGATCAACCCTTCCACCATTCCAGCCAAGCCGACCGTCCAGCCAAAGTTCGTCCCCTCCCCCCACTCGCTCCTTTCCGAGGTCCCTCACTTCCTGTGTTCAGAGCGGTCACAGTCGTCCCCGACGTCAACTTGAACGACTTGAAGAAGAGCTACGGCGTCGACGTCGAAGAGCGAGAGCGAAACCTTGAATCGTTTCAGAATGAAGTCGACTACGGGGTTGTCATTGCTGACGAGACGAGCTCCCACTGCGACGCACAGCTCTTTCCTCCGTCCAAACGAGCTCGCCGACCCCCGCCAGAGGTATCGCCCATTTATGATCCACCAGACAACATGAACTTGTCGTGCCCGAAGACGAATGCAGGGATCAAGCAAGAACACGGGGACCTCATCCAGGTGATTCTCGCGACGGGTATCACGCCAACGCCATCCGCGGGTGGGGCGCATTGTTCTGTTCAGTACGGCGACATCGTGTCATGGGGCTCCATTCCGCGCAAATCTCGTATTCAAAAGGTCCTGGACGCCGTCGCAACCACGTCGATGTGTATTCACACATGGACGATGCATGACATGGACGTATCTGTGGACGAAATGACGACGTTTGTCGACGCCATCACGGCCGACTCGTCGGCCCTGCAGCCGCTGGCAGCATTGAATGCACGCAGCATCAATTTTGATCCGTCCAAGTGGGCCATGCCGCTGGTACGTCTCATTTCTCATGCGAACCCTTCTGAATTGGGACCAAGCACGCGTTGACAATGCTACCCGCCTTGCAACATGTTGATTTGTCGTACAACACGTTGAGTGGCCATGGACCGGCCATCGAAGCGCTCTTGACGCAGTGCACGAAACTCACTTCCATCAACTTGGAGCAATGGTGGCACAATCATGTCTTTAGCCATTCTTTGATGCTTGGTGCGTAGCGGACTCCGCACCGTGCAGAACCATGTGCTAGCTGGTCTGGCTGCGTGTGCGACCGCGGGGCAACTCAAGCGGTTATCGCTCGCCGACAACGCGTTCAAAAGGGCATTTCTCGTCAAGCTGTTTCAAACTCTTCAGGTGCTCCAGGGGAGCACAGAGACGATCATGTTGACGGTGGATGGGGGCGTTAGGGTCTCGAGCTTCACATGCTGAATCTGCGCTTTGTGATGGAAGAAACCGATGCCTATGCACCTTCCGAAGTGGACGCCATGTTCGAGTTCGATCAACTTCGAGTGCGCCACTTGCATTTAGACTTTTCGATGTTGATTACGGACACGTCGTTTCTCGCTGCCTTGGCCAAAGCCGTGGGTCATTCCTCATGCGGAATGGAGACGTTGGAAATGCCGTCGTGGAGTAACCCGCTGACAGAGCCATGGAGGGAGGTACGAATCAGTAGGCGGTGAATGGAACGACTTCGATTGATGCGTGATGTGGCAGGTGATGAACCAGGTTGCGGCATATGGACGTATTCGCCGACTGAATGTGCGAGGTCTATCATGCACACCACTTTCTGTGTGGGAGGATGTGCTGCGTAGTGGAGTCAAGCAATGCGTGGCATTGGAATGGACAGTGTCGCATGTTATGGCGGAGGTGGGTCGTCGTCGTTGAAGCATATCATTCCTCATGAGCTGTCCAGCCATGCGTCGCACTCCTCCAATCTGTACGCCCACCATGCTTGAAAGAAATGCATATGAGTGTGGAATTCCCGCCGGGGACGCCATCTTCTTCGTGCGACTTGCCTAAGGCACATAAATGGCGGAAGGAGCTTGCCGCCGCCATCTCGACGTTGGCCAAGATCGACTTCGTTGGATACACTCGATCCCACTCTGCGCGATGATTGGCCCGTTTATAACATTTTAAACCAATGATATTCAATCTTCGGCATCGCACAAGTGTGGAGAAACATGGAGGTCGACGACCCAAAGGTATCGGTGGATGGACTCGCCGGCATCGAGCGTCAAATGCAGCAACTGATGCGGGAAGAACAGTATGAATCCACGGTTCTTCTTGGAGACATGTTTTGCTGCCCGTCACCTGCATCGACTGACAAACAATTCCTGCAAGCGATACATGCCCTGAACCTTGTCTTCGCCGACGCCCTCGTCCACATGAAAGAGCACAAACGCGCGTTGGTACTGCATTCTACTTTCTGCGGGGGCGACACTGAGTCGGTACTACGTTCATAGAGGTACTACACGTCGTGCTTGGCGTTCCAGTACCCCAAGGACGCGGCCGCACCTGATGACATGTCCACCGCAGAAGCCAGTCTTCGCCTCAAAATTGCCAAGTGCATGCACGTCCTTGACGACATTCCGAGCGCCATTCAAACTGTTCGTCCCTCGCCGTTTGTCACTGCCCTTGCTCGAGTTAATGAGGGACTGGCATTAGCTCGACCGTGTTCCGGCGACTGCGAGATCGATTGGAATACACATGCTCGTTGGCAAACTCAACTTGATGCAAGGCTTCACTCGGTACGCGTCGACCTTTCACGTCGACCCAACGCCGTTCAATCGTTAGGAAGGCCGAAGCGGCCTATCTTGCGGCCATCCAGTGCGTGCATCCATCGAAACGTAGTCCTGACCAATTTGACGTAGAGCCAACCCGTACGCGGTGGAAGCGGCGTTGGCGCTGGCGGAAATCACAGGAAAAAACGAAGAACGAAAGCCGAACCCGCTGGACGAGAGTGAGATCGTCCATTTGTACACTGAGCTCGGCGTCAACGAGGTTATCGATCCCACCGACGCCGCATGGCTTCAGTCCCTTGTGGACGCTCACATTCAGTTGCACAGCCATCAACTCGAGTGTCTGTGTCGTGCTTTTGCTCGAAGTAGACGCTGATGCGAGCTGTAGACGCCCTGGAATCGCTCGAGGATGTCGAACGCGTCCTTGGGACGACCCAGAGCCTCCACTGCCACCTCCACCGCGCCAAAGTCTTGATGGACCTGGAGCGTCCCGAACAAGCCATGGCAGCTTTTGTCCAAGTACGTCTTTCTTGCGAAATTGTGTCTCATGGGGTATTCCTCGCAGGCTCGCAAGTGCGATGCCAACAGCGTGCTTCTCATGGACGTGTTTGCTTTGGTGCTCAAGCAGTCGGGCCTCACGATGCAGCTCAACAGGTAGCTCTCGATGGCGTCGGATCCAATCTAAATCGGTGTCAGCCTCGTCCGCGACTTGTTCCGCATCAGCGAAACGAAACCCGAAGTATGGCTTGCCGCGGCATGTTACAGCGATCTCAAAGCCGACCGCCCCGCTGCGCTGCAGCTGTGCGACCGAGTACGATCTCCTCCAACGTTCCATCTCTCGATATATGCTCGTCATGGCGTGCATGTATCACTGCAGGCAATCGCAGTCGACCCCACGTACGCGCGAAGCTACGTCTTCCGGGGGTACGTCCTCCTTGCGTTGGACCGACCAGAATACGCCATCAACTCGTTCTCGCACGCGACCAAGCTCGACAAAACGATCGACGCGTACGAAGGGATGGGCGAAGGGCTGTGTGGCATCTGCCTCAAAGGCGTCGATAAATACATGGAAGCCATGAACGTCGCGCGGCTCGCCCTCATGTACATGCCCCACAGTCCCCGCGCCTACTTGTTGCTCGGGTCCGTGCTATCCCTCAAGCCCGACAGTCGCGACAAGGTACTTGACGAATCTTTGCTCGTTTCATCGCGTGCCCACCGCGGAGACACCGCCTCCCTCCATTAGGCGCGCAAAGCGTTTGAAAAGGCGCTGAGCATGCGGCCCAAGCTCCTGCGCGCGCATTTTGGCCTCGTGGACATCTTGATTGCCGAAGCCAAGTACGCGGATGCGATTCAGCGGTGTGGCCCCCTCCGTTTCATGCATGGGCTCACTTGACCGTCGCGCAGGCTCGAGATGCTGACCCACCACTTTGCACGGGACGTCGTGTTTGCCAAGTTGGGCGACGTACACACGTTGAATCGATCGTATGGCCTGGCGCTGCCACAGTACCATCACGCGCTGTCCATCAATCCAACCTGTGTCAAGGCATTGCGAGGGATCGATCGCGTTGAGAAGCTGTTGCGTGGCGAAGACGACTCGCCTGGTCGCGATCGTCTCGAGTTTCCAGGCGATCGAGACGACATCCGCATGGTCGAAGGAACCCGAGCGCCGTAGAATGTGAGCTGCCCGCTCCAGTCGACAACGTCACCACCGTCCGTTTGTCGACGCAAGTTTTGCTGTGCGTCGTAGCGACAAAGGACTGTGCACGAAATCCCTTGACGATGCGGCAGACGACGACGTTGGCATTCGATAGAACATGTTACGGCTTCTTGTCAAAGAAGCACGGGAACGGTCGAACGTTCGGGAGCTTGTTCAGCGCTTCCATGCCCTTGAGAAAAGGTTTGTTGGGCGTGAGCCAGTCGTCGAGGAGGAGTCCTTCCGTGTACGATCCGGGCGTGATCGGGTTGAATTGGTACGCGCTTTCGGGGTTGAGCGACCACATGTAAGCGCCTGCGTACTTGTTTTGGACCATCGTTTCGATGGTAAAGTCGGTGGTCCGCTTCGTCGTGAGCAGCGGGTGCTTGTCGGTGGCGTACAACCCGCCAAACTCGCCCATCACGACCGCGGCGTCGGTGCCGGCGAGGAACCCAAACATGACAAACATCGAGTCGGCGACACGGGTGCGAAGGCGATCGTCGGGCAGTTCCACCATGAGCTGCCACTTGCCGTCGTAAAAGTAGTCTTGGGGGGCCACCGCCGTCTAGAATCGGTCACCGAACGACGTCAGGATTGCCATGCATACCGTGTAATAGTGCGGCGAATACACCATCTTGTTTCGTGTGGCGAACTCGACGCCTTTAGTGGCCGCTCCTTGGAGCCCGCCGCCCCACCAGTTGTAGTACGTCCACTCCTTGCCGTCGATCACGCCCTTTTGCGGTCCTCCGTTGATACCTTCGACGAATCCGACCCAGTTTGGGCATACGGACAGCATGTGGTTGCCGAGTTTGGTCGCGCCGAGGACCCAGTCCGTGGCGGCAACGCCATCGCCCCACGTGGCTTTGTGCGGTTCGTTTTTGAGATCGATGCCGAGCACGTTCCAGTACTCGTCCGAGCACAGCCCCTTGGCGAGGAGGTCGAACGACTTGAGGACGCTCGCTTCGGGCACCTTTTTGTCGTACCAGAGGCCGCCTGTGTTGTCGTCCGGCATCAGCGTGTGGATACTGATGAGCACCGAGATCTGGCGGAACCCGAGCGCCTGCACGATGGACTGGATGGTCGTCATGTAGCTCTTCAAGTTCATCGCGCGATTCGCTTGGCGGTTCACGAGTCCCAGCGCCGGCGGCGTGTCGTCGAGAATGTGACCGACCGACACGGGCAGACGGACGCTGTTGAATCCGTTGCGTTGGAGGAACGCGGCAATTTCAAACTAGATCCCATGGGAATTCCAGCCCGAGACAACGTCGACTTACCACGGTCGTGCCGTTCTGGTCGTTTTGCCACAGCCCAAACGGCACAGCGTTGAGACTAGCAAGAGAGAGAAATGAGCGCGCGACGTGGTCGATGACGTACGTCTCCATGCCGAACCAGTTGACCCCCTTGATGCCGACGGCGACCTCGGTGCCGTTGGGCGACGCCGCCACGATCTGGCCGTTCTTGCTGAGGTAGTTGGGCAAAGAGCAAGCTAGGAGAAGAGGGTAGGAGCGGTGGAAGGGACGGGGTTGGCGTACACTTGGTCGTGTACTTGCGCGGATTGTTCACGATGCCATCGTCGGCGACATCCCAGTCGTCGCCGAGCCCGTCCTGTATCGCGCGGCGCTTGGCGGCGGCTGTTTGAACCGACGTGAGGCGGGCCGTGGCATTCTCGTACGACTTTTTCGCGCCAAACGAGATGGACACAACGCCGAGAGTAATAATGCAGGCGAGGAGAACGAGACCGGGCCACACACGCCGACGGCCCCTGTAGTCCTTGGCCGTCTCGGACCGTGTTGGTTCGGCGACATATGTAAGCGTCATGGGCTGCACCCCGCGCGTCGGCATGTCGCTATCGGACGTAGTTGGTACCTCCGACGGTCGTTCAAACACCGTCGGCCGCGTAGAGTACTGTGTGTTGATGCCGACAGGGCGGGTCGACAAGGACGACCGACGAGGACCATCTCGAGAAGACGAGGGAAAGCTGTGCGAAGTGTCTGTCGACGCAGTGTTGTACATGTGGTCATCTCCATCGACGCCGGCCGTTGGCAAGGGAGTTTGCATGAGCATGTGCTCCGGCTCGACGACGTCCACTTCGAAGCGCGCACTGCGATCTTCACGAGTGAACGCGAGTGAGCCTCGAGATGTCGCCGACGACGGCTGGAAATCGTTGAGCGAGCGCCGGTTGACCTCCAT